CACCTGCAGCTCACAGGTGAGAGCCCATTGAGGCTGCGGCCCTCAGTCACCACTCGGTACAGGGGGTCCAGAGCCCACACGCTGCTTTCCTCCTACAGTCTGGGTGGAAGAGAATACACTGAAAAGGGGTTCCAGAGGTTGTTAGACCCCTTCACCAGTTACCCAAAACCTTGAAACTAGATTCTAGAAAGCTCCAGACTTTCTCCTAAGGACCAAACACAGAACAGAATAGGCTTCTTCAGGGCACTCTGTTGCTATGTATCAAAGAATCCCAGACATGGGCAAATTCTTTGAGCAGTAATATAGAATCTAGGGACTTATCATTAAAAAAAACCCAAAGACATGTGCAACAATGTATGTATGAGGATATTCTTCAACATTTAAGTAAAAATCTAAACACAAAGCAAATGTTCATCAAAGAGATACTGTTTAAATCTGTTATGGTTCCTAATGAGGAACACTGTGGACATTCTAGTGACAATGTAGGTTGTATGTTGCTAATACTGCAAGACATTCACAATGGACTGAGTGAAAAATAATAAAAGAGTACACAAAATACAAATGTATATTTGTTAATAAGTGCTAACTTTCTCTCAACAGATTAGCATGTTAAGTCACTTTCTACAGGTAGATAGAATGAATCAATATCCTTTTTCTAAATTTTGCAGTAGTGTTTATTGAACTTTTTAAAAAAACAGTGACACTTTCCCTCCATCTACTTATTTTTCCAGACTAACGTACATATTGGAGTTCACCTCCCCTAAGCCATTTTTTTAGAGAAATCGTGCAAAATCAACAAGTAGGAAAAATTTGAGCTTTTACCCAGTAAGTCCTCTGAGGGTATTCTCAGGCTTAAGGTGTAAATGAAGTCCCTTTTTGTGGAAGTAAAGCAAGGCTTGTTCCAATTCCTCCACGATCCAAGATGGAGGAAAAGAAGTGAGATGGGCACCCTCCTCTCCATCATACCCACAAACATACCTTGACACCAGCTCTTAGTTTCCCTCAGGGAACCCAGCCAACCTACCGAGCAATGGCTATACGCTACTGGTCAAATGTATGTGCACCTGACACTTCCTACTGGGTTAACCCTTTAGTCTGGTGTTAACCAGATGCTGGTCACATAAGTAATCAGTGATGTGGGATGTCAGAGGTCCTCAAGGGTGGAAGGAGAGAACACAAAGGTCTTGTTGGAGGCTCTGCATAGGTTCTACATTGGGCATTCTGGGGTCAGGCTTGGGCCAGATTGGGCATGGACAGTTCTTCAAACCAGTGACAGGAGAATTGGGACTAGGCTCTTGGATTTAAAACTTTGGCCCACTGTGGGATGTGTAGGCTTATTCCAAAGTGAAGGATGGGAGATGAGCTAGGAACAAGGACAAAGATCTCTACCACAGGTCTCAGCAGGAGTTCCTCTCTATGGCAAATATATATGATTTTTGATGTCTCTGCAAGCTAGAATCCCAAACTTCCTTATTGCCTTGAGTCTTGGAACAGTTTCATCATCAGCATAAACTGGTTTTTCTTCTCCCAAGTTCATATTCTAAAATGTGCCCTTGACCAGATAAATTCCAATAGCAAAATCACTTATTGTAAATATTGCCTAATACAAAAGGGGAAGAAGGCAGCTCAGGGATAGTAGAAGGGCCTGGGTTGGGTATGTACGACATGTGAAGTGTTTTCCTCTCTCCGTATCGATCTTTCTTGGCCCTGTTTTCCTTCTCAAGTGACTGGCATGTATGTTTAAAACTGGCTTACTTATTCCTATGAGTCCCCACTCCACCCACCCCTGGATTTCTCCTCCTTAGTCTCTACTCATCAGAGTGCCTCTATCCTTTCTGTTAATAATGCAAATCATGGAGCACTCCCATGTTAGGGGTTCAGAGTTGAAGCAATGTTCTTTAAGAAGTGGCCAGACGTAGCTATTGAAACAGAAGGATTAGCCTCCATTTAAAGTTCTTCTCATCTCTGCCCCCAGTCACATCTAGTCCTTTAATGTTAGCTCCCCTCCACCATGAACTTAATTCATGTCCCAAATATCTGAGGGTTCATAATGGGAAGGTGTCATAATTCTTCCAGGAAGCTCATGAGGAAGAGCAGCAACAATGAGGAATCCCTATGTAAGATTTTCTGGATGGACTGAGCAGGGCCTTTATGTCTTTAATTTAGTTTAAAGTGGTTCCAGAACGGTAATAAGCCCAGATGTTGTCTGAAAATAAAATTATATAGTCTCTAGGAAAGAAAGGCACTTTCATCCAAGGATATTGGGAAGCCATATAAAATCTCTTTTCAAAGACAGAGTGACATACAAAGATAACCAACCAAAAAAGGAAACAAAGGAAACTGAGTGAAGAATTTAAAACATAAATTTACAAAGAGAGTCATAAAATCTTCAGTTATTGGTATTATCAGATGCATATTATGAATCAACTGTGCTTACCGTGTTATAAAAATCTTTGGAAAACTGAAATTAAAGAAAAAAATCCCCTGGAAAATGAATTATGAATGGGAGATAGAATAAATTGTCCAGAATGCAATATAGAGACTGAAGATGGAAATTCCAGAGGAGGATTTAAGACACATGGAGGATAGAGCGGAAAGACCTACTTTGCTACTAATTGGAATTCACAAGAAGAGGAGAGAGAAAGAATGGGGAAGAGGGTATATGATGGGAAGAAAAATTTGCTGAGCACGGGAAGACGCCACGTCAGAGATTCAAGTTGCTCAACATAACCCAAGCAGGAAAAAAATGGGAGAATTTCATCGTACAAAAACTGTAGAAAACACATTTGGTTACTGAATCCAGTTCAAAGTCCAGGTTTCTAAACATTTTTTTTTAAATTTATTTTTCCCCCAAAGCCCCAGTAGATAGTTGTAGGTCATAGTTGCACATCCTTCTAGTTGCTGTATGCGGGGCATTGCCTCAGCATGGCCTGAGAAGCGGTGCATCGGTGCGCGCCTGGGATCCGAACCCTGGCCGCCAGCATCGGAGTGTGCGCACTTAACCGCTAAGCCACGGGGCCCGCCCAAAGTCCAAGTTTCTAAAGGGGAAAAAAACTTTAATATCCTAGTCTCTGCACTCCCCCTTTACAATCCTGCATTTTTCCATGTAACTTGAATTTTAATATTAAAAAGGCCATTGTTCTAAAAAAACATTGACCAAAAGACATGCAATTCCTTGAGAGGAATCTGGCTGATGTCACAATGTTTTTTAAAACTACTGCTGCTGTAGGAATTAAATACCACAGCCACACGATATACCAAAGTGGAAGCATTGTCTAACAAATCTTATGCATGTAAGTATTTGACATGTACAAGATAATTCATAGTCATACTTTTTTTTTTTTTGTAAGATTGGCCCTGAGCTAACATCTGCTGTCAATCTTCCTCTTTTCTTTTTTTTTCTCCCCAAAGCCTCAGTACATAGTTGTACATCCTAGTTGTAGGTCCTTCTAGTTCTTCTATGTGGGACACCCCACAGCACGGCTTGGTGAGCGGTGAGTAGGTCCGCCCGCAGGTTTCCAACCTGTGAACCCCCTGCAGCGGAAGCGCAGGGCGCGAACTTACCCGCTGCGCCACTGGGCAGGCCCCAGTCATACTTTTTATAATTTTAAAAAATAAGTCAAATTAAATTTGAAAAAAGGAAGTAAAGGAAAGAACCCAAACGTACACCAACAGCAGATTGCTCTGGCCTGTGTACACCTCTGTCCAGCGCCCCTTTGGGTGGACTAGACAAGGTCAGAAACTAAGAAGTGCTTCCGGGGACAGAGGCGGGTCAGGCTCCATCGGTTACAGGAGCAATTCTTCCCAGGATTGAGGCCTTTGTCCTCGAAGAGCTCACTCGAGTCCCGTATTTCTGAGTCCTTTGAGGACGCGAAACGCACTTCGGAGCGGCTGTCAGTGTCACAAACATGACGTGACCGCATGAATTTCTGGGAAGTGTCGCTTGTCCGCGGACAATTATTGTTATGACAGCCCGGACACAGGGCATTTTGGGAAATATAGTCCAGGGCAAGTGGGCACCAAATACTCAACGCCCATACGAGCTAGACAGCCCGGCAGCAGGGTTTGGCCGAGAGGAGCCCTTCCGCGGGCACAGGCCAGTTCCCGCCGGCACCAGCAGGGGCCGCCCGTGCACGCAGGAGAATCTCTGCGCGATCATACGAATGACCCGGAAGACCTTTCGTGGCCGCATCACTTTCTGGGAAGTGTAGTTTTCTGGTTTGGGCGCCATTGCCCTTACAACGCCAGTAGAGGGCTGCCCTTGGTTCTAGGAAGCAGAGTTCACCAGAGACGACCGTTGTCCTCTCCATACTTTGCGTGTGCGTCCTGGTTGAGCCGCTCTGCAACGACGGCTTCAGGCGGTGTAGTTTCTTAGGAAGCCCGGGACATTTTTCTCGCGGTGCGCAGAGAGCGCGCGCGGCCGCAGAGACTTTTGGGAAGTGTAGTTTTTCTGGCGGCCACCGTGCGAGGCCCCGGTAACTTTTGTCCCTGGCGCGGAGTCGTCTTAGAAATGCTGCTCTGGTATGGACTCCGCCCTTGGTCCACCCCGCGGTAGCTTCGGCCAGGCGGCGGAATTCTCCGTCCTGAAATCTGGGAGGACTCTGGGCAGTGCGGTTCCCGCGAGGGCGGCGGCCATCGTCGCTCGCAACGACCCGGCGCGTCAGGTTCGCGGAGGTGCCCGCCCTGGACGCGTCGGGCTCGGGGGGAGGCCCAGCCCGGGCTTCGGGGCTGGGGGTCCCGCTGAGGATTTAGGCAGGCGTGGGCCCCGGGAGGGCGGGCGGCCGGCTTCAGGCTAACGGCACCGGGCCGCCAGCACCTTGCTGGTCCCAGGGTCTGCCCCGCGGGGCGAGCCCAGGCAGGGCCTTGGCTGTCCGGGCCGCTGTGTCCTGCGTGTAAGCGGGAGCAAGGACGGCGCGGACCCCCTGGAGCTGCTGTGAAAGGGACCGGGCGCGTGAGCGTGCCGCGTACGCACTGGGAGAAAACGCCAGCTGCCGTTGTTTTTATGTTACCCGGTCGTGAAGCTGACGTTTTCCAGTTGTGTAACCTTGAACAAAGGGCTGCAGTATCGCCGTTTCAGTTTTCTCATCGTTTAAAAAAGAAATCTGTAATAATGTGAATGCCCACCGTGCATAGTAGTGAAGGTTGATCGAGCTCTTACTGTTATTACTGTTGTTTTGAGTCTGTCTGTTACGTGTATGATAGTTGATTTACACACAGGTGGCACCTAGTAAATGGTTACCTCGTGCCAAGGAACACTCTGGTAGTTCGGGGAAAGAATGGAGCCCTAGGAAGTGATTCCCAGTGTGCCCTTCCATGCAGGTGTGTCACAGAGCTGCAAGGTATGCCAGATTTTTCGTGACTGCTTTTTCCTGTTTTTGATCTGCCTTCTCAGGACACTGCGCTTCTATAACACAAGAGCCTGGAAAGAGGACTGTGTGGACTATTGGAAACTGCAGAGTCATGTTCCAGGTAAGTCGATATGCCCCCAAATCTTCCTGAAACACTTTCTCATCGGGACTCTTTGAGTGTTTGCTATGCTTCTCCTCCCAGTTCCCACTAACAAAGTCCATTTAGGGACTGGATCTGTGATTCCTTTCGTTACAGAAAAGGATGGAGCCTGCAGAACTCCGAAGTGCTGTCTTCTCCCAGTGCTCCTCTTTCCTACCACTTTTCTGCTAGAAGCCTCTGTAGAGTCTTGAGCAAAACTCTTTTTCAATTACAATTCAAAATTCAAGTTGAGAATTTTAGGTTATTTGCTTTATGGTTGTCACAGCTGTATAATGTGGGCTCAATTAATGGCATATCAGTCCTTTCAGTTGTTCAAGTTAAGAGGTGTTTGGAGTCATCCTTGCTTTTTCCTTTCTCTTATAACTCTCGTTTAGACACTCTAGTTGATCTAAAATATATACAGGATATTTACAGAATCTGACCATCGGTTACCCCATCACCGCCATCACCCTGTCACCTGGTCCAAGCCACCTGGATTATTGAAGGAGCCTCCTAACTGGATTCTCTGCTTTTGCCCTTCACCCTCTTCAGGCTCCTCTCAATATAGCTGTCACAGTGATCCTCTTGTTGTATAAAATGCTGTCATTCCTCAGCTTGAAACTCTTCCGTGGCCCTAACTTAGAATAGAAGTCAGCATTCTGTAGTGACTTAAAAAGCTTTGTACGATTAGGCTCTCTGTTAATTCTCTGATCCCATCTTCCTTCTCTGTCTCCTTGTTACCTGTGAGCTCCAGCCACACTGGCTACTGCCTCCAGGCCTTGGAAGTTGCTGTACCATCTGCTTGGAATATTCTTTCCCCAGATAAGCACAGGCTTGCATTCTTATTTCCTTTTATCTTTGCTCAACGGTTACTTTCTCAGTAAAGCCTCCGTGAACACCTATTGAAAGTTGCAGTCACGTTCTCTTGACTGTCATTTCCACTCCTCCATCACTGCTTTGTTGTTTTCCATAGTGCTTATCACTCACTAGCTGATACACTGTATGCTCATTGTTTGTCTCCTCCCACTGAGAGGGATATTTTTTCTTTTCTGTTGACTGTTTTATCTTTAGTAACCAGAGTGGTACCTGGCACAAAACAGAGGCTTAGTATATAGTTGTTGAGTGAATGAGTGATGAAAAAATGGTGGGGAAGAATCATGGGTGGAAGGTGAAGCCTGCATGAGTGGCAGATGTGCATGTTGGGCAGAGTCTGGTTTCTTGAAAATACTAGATAATTAGAATTGAAAAAACCATTTTTTTAAGGTAAAAGCTGAAGTGAACTAATTGCCAAAATCATTCATTGATTCATTTTCTAAACACTTATGAAGTTCCTGTGAGGAAGAAGGTTACATAGGTTTGGGTGTACACTGACATGCAGGACTTCATGATCTAGCACAGTACTAAGAGAGCTTTCTACAGTGGTGGAAATGTTCTAAATGTGTGCTGTCCAGTATGGTAGCCACCAGCCCCATAGGACTGTTGAGTACTTGAACTATGACTAGAGTGACTGAGGATCTGAATTTTTAATTTTGTAATTTTTAATTGTAATTAATTCAGATTTACCTAGCCAAATGTGGCTAGTGGCTACTGACTGGTAGAAAAGTAAGAAAGCATAAGAAATTAAGAAGGTGCTGGGACAAATATCCTAAAATCTTTTGGTGACAAAGATTAATAACACCCCAGGCTGCCCAGGCCGTTGAAGGGAAAGAAGGAGTTGAAGCGTCCCTGGGGAAGCAGGGCTGGAGCTGGTGTTGGTCGCCATAGTACCAGGGAGGCCGAGGTGGAAGTGAAGTTTTACAGAACTGAGAGAACACCTTGAGCATAGGCGGAGAGGCCTAAGGGAGCCTTTCAGGGAACTGCAGACATTTTTGAAGTGGTGGTTCTCAAACGGGTGATTTTGTCCCCCTTAGTTCCACCCATAGGGGACATTTGATAGTATCTAGAGACATTTTTGATTGTCACAACCCTGGTGGAGGAGGAGAGTTGCTACTAGCATCTGATGGGTAGAGGCTAGGGATGCTACTAAATATCATACAATGCACAGGACGGCTCCCCACAACAAAGAATTATCTAGCCTAAAATGATAGTAGTGCCAAAGTTCAGAAACCCTCATCTAAATAAAGAGCAAAGAGTGTCTATTAATGAGATTACATGGGTTTTATTCTTTAGACTTATTAATATAATGACATTCATTAATATGTGTTCAAAACTTAAAATATGAAATATCTTTGCATTGGTAGAATAAAACATTTTAGTTTTACGCATTTAGTGGGTTGTCATTTTTTTTTTACAGTCATGCGTCGCTTAACAACAGAGAAATGCATTTTTAGGTGATTTTGTCGTACAAACATCATAGAGTGTACTTACACGAACCCAGATGATATAGCTTACTACACACCGGGGTATATGGTACTAATCTTATGGGACCACTGTTGTATTTGTGGTCTGTCGTTGACTGAAATGTCGTTATGTGGTGCATGATTGTATTGGTTTATCAGGTGGGGTTTATAAAAGCCTATCATTTCAAGACCATTGTGGAAAGTAGGAAAAGATGGAAAATTTTTCAGTTCATATGATAAGAGTAGGATAACCTTAATACCTGGGTAAGTGTAAATAAATGGAAAAAGAATTTTCCCTGGTTCCTAAAGGGAAAGAGACCGTCTCCCCCTTCCATTTCTTACCGTGTTTTCTTGAGAAAAACCTGTGATTGTAAATCCTTTCCCTGTCCCTTAAGACGCTTGTAAACCTTTTTCAAAGCTAAATAAGTGTCTGCCAGTTTTACGAGGCAGTAAAGTCTTTCTTAAGGGCCTTGGAGCCATCTCTTTGAAATGAAAACATGAAGAGAGATGCACCCCCATCTCCCTGTCCGTGGGAGTTTAGCCTAGGGCTCCTGGCTCCAAGTTCTGACCACCTCCTTGTCGTGGGAAGTTTTATTTTTCTTTGGGGAAAAGGCAGATGGCCACCCCAGTTACCAGGTGAATTTAGGATGAATTATGTATAGCAAATGATGCTGTCAAATCCTCTTACTTGAGGACAAGCTACTATTGATTTTGAAAACATGTATGTAAAGGATTGTATGTGCCTGGCTTTATAAAAGGGTGAGGTTTCTTTCTGTCCTTGCAGTCTCCTTTGTGATTGCCTGTGAAGTGCATTACAGTCTGGTTTAATGCTTATTCAATAATAAAACTGTTCTCTTTGTTGCCTGCATTGTGGAGAGGATTTTCTGGTTGGCAGATTTGATTTTTAATTATTTCCCCAAAACCTGACAAAGGTCCATTTCCTCTTTAAAACCAGAGACCAGTGTCACTGGTAGACATACATGAAAAATATCCAAATAAAGTAATAGAACATTGAATCAGCCACTCTTGGGGTGAAAAGTTTACCATAGCCAAACAATGTCTATTTCACCAATGAAAGATAGTAATAATGCCATTTTAAATGGATACACATATTATATGCGTTTCTTGTACGTATTATAATTTGACTAACCAGTGAGCTATTATTGAACATTTAAGCTTTTCTAGTTTTGCTGTTTTAAGTAATACCATGAGTAAGTGCTGTTGAGAAGAAATCTATTTCCTTAGAACATTTTTCTTGAAATGTATCCTTTGTTTTCTTCTTTGCCCTTACTTTAAGATCCTATTCAAGGACTACCTGTGGCATGAAACCATCCTTTAGTTTTCTTGCCCAGGGCTCTCAAATTATTTTAATTATAGGTTGATTATCAATATAAGGTTTACTCATATATCATAAATGTTTTTCTTTTTTGTTTATAAATTAGTTGTGTATATGTCTATCTTTAGTATAAAGATGTCTTTTTTCTGAACCTTTGGATCATTTTTTTTTTTGAACCTTAGTGGATCATCATTTTTTATTACCTACATCATTTTTTATTAGCCTGTAAACTATAAAAAAACACAACTAAGCACTGACTATATGCAGTCAAGTGTTGAATGCTGATTTTTAAAAATTTTATAATTCTATTCCCTTTAACAAAATGAACTGTCCTAAAGCAAAGTTCTTATATTTGTCTCTTACCCTTATTGTATAACAATGTCAAACACATAATTATTCAATTATTACTTAACTTAGATTCCTGCTCATTGTCACAACTGCTGAATCTTGTTCCCTTTCTTCCACAACCAGAGTAATTTTACCCCGTGATCAGTGACAGAAGAGGCCTGGGCTATGGTTGAGCCTAAGTGTGTTTGCTGTTTCAGGTGACATTTAGTGATGTGGCCATAGACTTCTCTCACGAAGAGTGGGGATGGCTCGATTCTGCTCAGCGGGATTTATACAAGGATGTGATGGTCCAGAATTATGAGAACCTGGTGTCTCTAGGTAAGCATATCTCCCTCTCCACCCCAATGAGGGAGATCTTTCTTCTGCCACTCTGAATTGCTGGAGATCCTCCTGAGTAAATCACTGCATTTTTATTTCACATTTCCGAGGAAATGTATAGCTCTGTTGTGCCCTGCCTGAAGCTTATCTTCCCATTTCAGTGAATGTCCTTCAAACCTTCCTTTGGTCCCTTTTGTGATGTTGGCCTTTCCTCCATGAGAACCACAGCTTAAAAAAGTTCTACATTTTTCCTGTAAGCAGGTCTTTCCATACCTAAGCCATATGTGATCACTTTATTGGAGGATGGGAAAGAACCTTGGATGGTGGAGAAAAAACTGTCAGAAGGTATGTATCCAGGTAAGACATGGTGAATCAGGCAAAAGAGGTCTTTGTTAAAGAAGCTTATAGAAAGTGTGGAGGCATTTTAGGATATTTTAGGGATACTGTCTTCTGAGATCCCAAATGTAGCAAAATTGAGGGGTCCTTAGCTTAGGTTTCAAAACAACCTGTTCCTGACTCAAATTAACTATCTTTCTGTATTACTCATGTCATCTAATCAAAAGTAGAGGTTTTTGCCATCATAATTCAAATTGTTATTTTATTTGAAACAAAAAAAGGCATATTCTTTTTAAGTCCACTTAAGGAAAAATATATTGGTGGTTTTAGGTTAAGAAAAGCTGTCAGTTAAATGGAAAATCACTTTTCCCCTAAGGCTGAGATTCGAAGATCAAATATAAACATGTGTTAGAGGAAGTAAGGAATGTATAAGAAGGTTTCTAGGAACAGTATTTTCTAATGTCCAGTAAATGATATGATTTCACACAGATCCTACATAAACTCACAAAGCCTAAATCTTTGTGAACCATAGAGTATTTAGATTATTTTGTTGTCACTGTAACTATTTAATGTAGCACTATAAATTCTGCATTCTAAGCATACTAATATGACAGCAAATTGAGATTAATTGAAGCTTGGAGAACCAAGGCTGTGAGACAAAATGTGGTCTTTCACGTAAATATAGGCACAGGATGCTGGCTTGGAATCCAGAATGCCTTCCACATTTTCTTTCTGATAGTTTCATTTTTTTCCACATGCTGGTTGCCTATAGTTAACCTATTTCCCGTATTACACTCTGTTCTAGCCTTTGTGAGTTGTCTGTATTCTCTGTGCTCATTTGAACTTTGTTCAGAAATCACTGAATATATGAGAGTTGTCAGACCATGTGTTTTTGGGGTGGTGGACGCTTTGTTTTTAATCCAATTTTGTTATTTCTACCGTAGAAGTTTCTTTTCAAGAAAAACAGAAAAAGCAATGTTTTGCTTTCTTGATATATTTCAGATTGGGACTCAAGATGGGAAAAGAAGGAATTTTCAACAAAGGAGGATATTTATGATGAAGATTCACCCCAAACGGTAATAATAGAAAAAATTATAAAACAAAGTCATGAATTTTCAAATTTTAACAAGGACTGGGAATATATAGAGAAGTTGGAGGGGAAGCACAAAAATCAGGTAGAACATTTCAGACCAGTGACCCTCACCTTTAGAGAAAGTCCCACTGGGGAAAGTGTTTACAAATACAGTGCATTTAGAAGCATCTTCCATTTAAAGTCTATTCTTTCTGAACCACAGAGAATTTCTGCTGAAGGAAAATCACATAAACATGATATATTTAAGAAGAACTTACCAAAAAAGTCAGTTATAAAAAATGATAATATCAGTGGTGGAAAGAAACTTTTGAATTCTGACGAAAGTGTGGCAGCCTTCAGCCAGAGTAAATCTCTTACCCTTCACCAGACTTATAACAGAGAGAAAATCTATACATGCAGTGAATGTGGGAAGGCCTTTGGCAAACAATCAATCCTTAATCGCCACTGGAGAATTCATACAGGAGAGAAACCCTATGAATGTCGTGAATGTGGGAAGACTTTTAGCCATGGCTCATCCCTTACTCGACATCAGATAAGCCACAGTGGAGAGAAACCTTACAAATGTATTGACTGTGGGAAGGCCTTTAGTCACATCTCGTCACTTACCAATCATCAAAGCACTCACACTGGAGAGAAACCGTATGAATGTATGAACTGTGGAAAGTCTTTTAGTCGTGTTTCACATCTCATCGAACATCTGAGAATTCATACTCAAGAAAAACTCTATGAGTGTCGAATATGTGGGAAGGCCTTCATTCATAGGTCGTCTCTCATTCACCATCAGAAAATTCATACTGGAGAGAAACCGTATGAATGCAGTGAGTGTGGAAAAGCCTTTTGCTGTAGCTCCCACCTTACTCGACATCAAAGAATTCACACTATAGAGAAACAATTTGAATGCAACAAATGTCTGAAAGTCTTTAGCAGCCTCTCATTTCTTATTCAGCATCAGAGTATTCATACTGAAGAAAAACCCTTTGAATGTCAAAAATGCAAGAAATCCTTCAACCAGCCTGAATCACTGAGTATGCATTTGAGAAATCACACTAGGTTGAAACCTTACGAATGCAGCATATGTGGGAAAGCCTTCAGTCATAGGTCATCCCTGCTTCAACATCACAGAATTCATACTGGAGAGAAACCCTATGAATGTATTAAATGTGGGAAGACCTTCAGCTGTAGTTCAAACCTTACTGTACATCAGAGAATTCATACGGGAGAAAAGCCATATAAATGTAATGAATGTGGGAAAGCTTTTAGCAAAGGCTCAAATCTTACTGCCCATCAGAGAATACATAATGGAGAGAAACCTAGTAGTGCAGTAAGTGTGGAAAACCCTTTAGACCATATGAGTCACTATACAAGTGAAAATTCCTACAAGAGAGAAACTGTTTGAATGCAGTATTTGTCATAATACATTTTAGCCATAGATCCTCCCTGATTCAACATCAGAAAATTTATACTGAAGAAGTCTTATGAATGTTATGAATGTGGGAAGGTCTTTAGCAATGGTACAAGCCTTATTGTCCATCACAGTTCACACTGTAGAGAGACCATATGAAGGCAATGAATGTGCCTTTAGCCAGTATGGATCCCTTAATTAACATAAGCAAATCCACAATGGAGAAACACCCTATATATGTAACAAATATGGGAAAGACATTAGGCAATATGAATCTCTTATAAAATGTTAAACATACAGGAGAGAAGCAATGTGAATATAGAAATCATGGGAAGTCCTTCATTTCAAGTACATCCCTCATTCTACATCAAAGAACTCACACTGGAGAGAGAGCTTATGTAAGAAATGTAGCAGTGTTCACTAAGAGTTCTTATCTTGCTAGACATCAGAAGATTAATGCTAGAACAACCTGAAGGATGTAGGAATTATGTGTACATCTTTGCAATGATGCTATTTGTAAACACTTCTAAAGGGAGCAAACAAGCATAAGTGAATATGCATTTCTTATAGCAGTAGCATGCAGTTTTACTCAAGAGTCCTAGAAAGAAATTAGCTAATGGTCATGTGAAGATATTTAGTTACCCAGTGGATGCAGTAAGTGTTATAAAGTTGAAAATTAAAGCTGCAAAAGAAGTAAAAAGTAGTGTGAATAAAATTTTTTGTTTCTAATAAAATCATTTTGTGTATAATAAACACTTTCACTCTGCCACTGATATTTCTTGCAAAGTTTTCCACTACTTTCCTCTTGAAGAATTGAGGTCAGCCTTACTATAGACTTTAGTGGGAGACTAGCAAGCCTGGAGAAGAATGGCCTGATCTCTGTGTGAAGAATGTCATTATTCTGGTGAGGGTAATTCACAGTAGTTGGCTTAGTTTACACATTTTAATTTTTACAAGTGCTAGCCAAGAAACATACTATGGGAAATCAGAGGAGGCTTGACTGTGGGTTGCTTTTTAATCTGAATTCTAAAGGATGAGTACTAATTATGTAGCTGTGTGGGTGCACACACTCTGGAGTCATTCTAGGCAAAGCAGACAAGCAAGTTCTGTCATGTTTGCTGCAGCTAGACTCCATGGTCCAGTGTCTAGTTTTTTTTTTTTTTTTTAATTTTATTTGTTTGTTTATTTATTTCCCCCAAAGCCCCAGCAGATAGCTGCATGTCATAGCTGCACAGCCCTGTAGTTGCTGTATGTGGGACGCGGCCCCAGCATGGCTGGAGAAGCGGTGCGTTGGTGCGCGCCTGGGAACCGAACCCCGGGCTGCCAGCAGCAGAGTGCGCGCACTCGACTGCTAAGCCATGGGGCCGGACCACCAGTGTCTAGTTTTAAGTTTCGTGGCTTGGAGGTATTACTCCTGGCAGCATCACTTGTGACTGCAGCAGTCATTTCTCCATCCCTGGATCATAGTTATGGGCGTTTACATTGAAATTCAAGTCCAGAGCTATCCCTATTACTTCTCCTCCAGCCTGCCCACCAATTTTGAAAGCATTAATTTCGTGCAATGTATGTCTTGTTGAAATATTTGAGTGTTTGTTTTGTTTTTTTTTTTGTGAGGAAAATCAGCCCTGAGCTAACATCTGTGTTAATTCTCCTCCTTTTGCTGAGAAAGACCGGCTCTGAGCTAACATCTATTGCCAATCCTCCTTTTTTTCCCCCAAAGCCCCAGTAGATAGTTGTATGTCATAGTTGCACATCCTTCTAGTTGCTGTATGTGGGACGCGGCCTCAGCATGGCCGGAGAAGTGGTGCGTCGGTGCGCGCCTGGGATCCGAAGCCAGGCCGCCAGTAGCGGAGCGCGCGCACTTAACCGCTAAGCCACGGGGCCGGCCTGAGAGTTTTGGTTTTCTGCACTGAACCTTGACAGATCATTATGCTTTGTAAGGAGGATGGCTTTAAATATTCTAAGTTTTAGATAAATGCAATAGTCTTACTGGCTCCGTGGTTTCCTGTCTTGTGACTAGAATGGTAATATAGATCAATGATTAGGATTGTCTGGACACTGTTTAAAGGGCGGTAATGTACAGTAGTCCCCCCTTATCTGCAGGGGACACATTCCAAGACCCCCAGTGGATGCCTGAAACTGTGGATAGTACTAAACTTTATATATACTATTTTTTCCTATACATATATGCCTATGATAAAGTTTAATTTATAAATTAGGTACAATAAGAGATTAACAATAATAACTAATAATAAAGTAGAATAACTATAACAATATACTGTAATAAGAGTTGTGTGAATGTGGTCTGTCTCTCAAAATATTGTACTGTACTTTTGGAGCATGGTTGACTATGGGTAACTGAAACAGCAGAAAGTGAAACTGCAGATAAGGAGACTACTGAACCTTTTATTTCAGATTATATTCTCTATGACATTTGATAGTCATAAGTAAGATAAATTATTTTAAAAAGAAATATCAGTGATATAATAATTCTGGTGTGGAATGAGTGACTAGGGTTTCCAACTTGCAACAAAATATTCTCTGACTCTAGTATATGTGCTACCTTAACTGAAAGTGAAGAGGCAAAGGCACGTTCCATAGCAGTTTTCCGTAGAGTTAGTGGATTTGGAATGGGATGGTGAATTTTTAATATTAAGCAGAGACTAATCTTTCCTTTGATTTATTTTTAGTCATGAGATTTATTTTGAAATTCTATGGAACATTGAAGGATCTTTGAGAGATTTATAATTAGGGAAGCGTGGCATTGGTATCAAACAAGGACTAAGAACAGTCGTGATTATGGATAGCCTGGCCACTACGTGTATATAGTTGTGGGATAATGGCAGTATCTTTCTGTTTCTCCCATTCTCTGTCCTCCTGCTCTCCTATGTACTGGTGTTGCAAAGATGAAGTAGTCCTTTAATCCCCCGGATTTTTTTTGCTTTCAATACACATGGTTTTATGCCATCTTGTTATTTCGTTATGAGAGGATTCATCCAAATGCCCATACTTGGTCATGTAAAAAGCACGAGTATGCACATGATAATGTTTTACAATTCTTGATTTAAAGTGCCTTCACAGTCACACTGAACTAGGAAAAGAAAGCCAGAGTTTTAAATAAAGATAGTGGAGGTTTTAGAAAAGCACTAAGAGTATATTACCTTGTTATGGCAAAAAATTGGGCTGAGATCGTAAAGAGGTTATGATGTCACTGGTGGAGAATCATGCTCAGTTATGCCTATTAACCATTTCTTGAGCATCTGCTATGGGCCAGAGAAATAAGACACACTCCATGCCCTTCAAGAGTTCAAAACTGCATGTACGTGTGTGAAGAGCATAGACTCTGGAGTCACGTTATGTGGGTATAAATCCAAGTTGCAAGTGTACTGGCTTTGTATGACCTTGGACAAATTACTTCACTTATGCCTCAGTTTCTCCATCTGTAAAATGGTGATAATAACATGTTATGGGGTTGTTATGAAGATTAATTGAGTTAATTGGTATAAAATGCTTACTAAGCCTGGTACCTTAAAAGCATTCAATGAGTATTAGCTATTTATTTCATCATCATCATTATCTTCACGTGGCTGCTTCATTATTCTGGTCTCAAATGTCACATCTTCTAGTGGGTCTTCGTAATCACCTGTCACTCAGTTATCTACTTTCTATTTCACTGTTTTGGGGGTTCTTATAAGATACTCCCGTTTTCTTCCAACAAATCTTCTTTTGGTATTTTGAGACATTTTGGGGGGGAATATTTTTATTACCCCAAATACCCTGAGGACACACAAAGAGCACTGGATAGGAGAAGGTGAGACACAAACACAGCAGGGCTGCAGGAAGTTGGGAGAGTGCCCTACAGATGTGTTTTGGAGAAAGGGCAGAATGAAGGAGGCTTCAGGTCTCCGTATGGAGGAGAGGTTAAGCTTTACTCAGTGAGACCAGAAGCTTAAAGGACTTCAGCATCACCTCTCAGTACAGGGTCTTCTGGGCTGAGTGCAACTGCCCTCACTGTTCCTGAATAGAAGTTATAACCATGTCATTGAAGGTCACCGGTGCCTGGAAAGTCAGGGTAGCATCACTAGCCTTGGGCTAGTCAGATGTGATTAGAGCCCATTGTGCAGTCATTGGCAAATAGCCTGAAAGAACCAAGGCACTGAGTACTTCTTGGGAGACTAGCTCTGTGCCGAGTACCAAGGGGCTGTGTGTGTGTGTGTGTGTCAGAGTGTCAGACACTGCCTTTAAACAGGATGCAATTGTATTAGAGAAAAAAAACACTTATGAAAAAGCCATTGATGAAAGACAATGACAAGTCTGTGTGGCTTGAGAAGCACAGAAAGTAAGAACTCTAGCATTAAAAATGAATAGGGAAAAAATCATAATAACAAACAATATTGTTAACAGCAGCAGCAGCTAAGCCTTATGGCTGTATACCTGCACTGTATACTGTATAGCTGGGCTGTATGCTGAGAGTTTATTGCAGCATTCAAGCATGTTCCCAGCTCTGGACCCAAATTCCCTGGTTTGAATCAGCCTGTTGAGACTGACAGTTGCCTTCTGTAGAACTTTGAGGAAGTCACTTCATTTCTCAAGCCTTGATTTCTGCATCAAAACAAAAATGATTCCCACTTTACCAAGTGGTTGTGAGAATTAGAGAAAATATTCATAAAGCAAACAGTGGAGTGCCTGGCACATGTAAGTTGCTTGGGGTGTTTTTCTTACTTTTGTTCATCCTCCCACAGACTATGAGGTAAATGCTATAATCATCTCTATGACATAGTCAGCTACCTGAGACTCAAGACAGCCCTAGAGTCACACATCTCAGGAATATAGGCTGGATTTGAACATCCAGTAAGAGACCATACAATTACCCTTCTGGCAATATTGTGTCTCAGAAGATCAAGTTTTCTTTTGGCAATCACACAGCTCCTCTCATGCCTCCTGGAAACAAAAAATATTCCCTTTGGCCATGCCGTTCCTTCAGCCTAGAATGTCCCCCATATCTCCCTTATTACCAAGCTCACCTGCCAGAGGGACTACTGCCCATCTTGTAAAGTTCACTTTAGGTGTCACCCCTATTCTTCAAGCAATAACAGAGGAAATGAGGGATAAAAAAATTGTAAGACAGAGAAAACAAAGAGCAAAATGGCTGAAGTAAGTTCCTCCTTTCCAGTAATTACATTAAATGTAAATGGATTAAACTCTTCAATCAAAAGATAGAGATTGGCACAATGGCTTAAAAAAACAAACAAACATGATCCAACTATATGCTGTCTACAGGTGACTCACATTAGATCCAAAGACACAAATAGGTTGAAAGTGAAAGGGTGGAAAAAGCTATTTCATGCAAAGAGTAACCAAAAGAGAGTTGTAGTGTCTATACTAATATCAGACAAAATAGACTTTAAATCCAAAAAGATTTCAAGTGACAAAGAAAGTCATTATATATTAATAAAATATTCAATACAGCAGGATGATACAATTGTAAACATTAATATCCCTAATAACAGACCACCAAAATATATGAAGCAAAAATTGACTGAATTGTAGGGAGAAATAGAAAGTTCTACATTAATAGTGGGAGACTTCAATATCCCACCTTCAATAATGGATAGATCAACCACACAGAAGATAAGTAAAGAAATAGAGGACTTGAACAGCTCAATAAACCAACTATACCTAATAGACAAATGACACTCCACCCAACAACTGCAGAATACACATTCTTCTCAAG